TTTATATACAATAATATAATTATATATACATAATATATATTGTATATAATTTATATCTGAACCATACAAGTGTTCGCTTGTATGTATCTTACAGATGCGGCCACTCACCTGTACACGCTGAAGTGTATGTACAGCTCAGCCGCGACAACAATGAGGGCCAGCAGCGCGGAGAAGTCGCGCAGCATCAACAGCCACCTGCTGGCGCTTCTGCTTCTGCTTCTGCTGCTGCTGCTGCTGCTGCTGCTGCTGCTGGTAGGCATTGGGAATTTGTAGTTGAGTCTGTCTACCTCGCTGGCCTCTCGCCATGCTTTGTGCATGCGCTGGATGGTGTGACGCTTTGATGCGCCTATTGTTCGGGTGTACATCCACCTGCCTATCTGCAGAATGAGAGCTGCAGGGATCACCGACTGCAGCACTTGATTTATTTCTCCGCCCCACTGCAGCAACTGGGACCCCAGGAGGCGGACCCCCTCCAGCACCGCCACAGCCTCTCCCAGCATCCGTACAGAGTCCCTCACACATGTCTGTACACTCGGTTCGCTCTGCTCCTGTCTCGCTCCATGCGTCTGTCGGGCGCTGAAGGGGCCCTGCGGCTGCATGTAAGCCAAAGAGGGGGGCCCGTAGAAAGCCCCAGGGCCGCTGCAGCCGGGAGGCTGCATTGTACCACGACGAGGTTAGTGGAGCTGGTGATTTCAGGAAAACGAAATGCTGCTGTTGCTGCTGCTGCCGCTGCTGCGGCTTCGGCTGTGCAGCACAACCGGTCCTGTGGGGGGGGAGGTCAGGCCTTTTGAAATGGTTTTTCTCATGTATATGAATGAATTAAAAGTAAATTACTGGAAAGTGACGACAAATAGCATCAGCTGCGGCTGCTTGCTGTTCTCACTTGGCGCTGCACAGACACCCCAGCAGCGCCGGCTGTACGTACAGCCGGGCCCTCCATAGACTTGATCACAAGCGGCAAAACTTTAAAGCAAAATAATCAAAAATAAAACAATTCTATTTAATAAATATAACTGCTATTGAAAGTCGATAGAGACAAATACAAACAAAAGTCAAACGCAGCAACAAAACTCGGGGCTTGCTGCCGCTGTATCGGTGTCGTCTTGGGTAGTTGTTGGGTCTATCTACGCCAAATTTATTCGCATATAAATACATATAAATACAGAAATATACATAAATACATGAACTTTCTATCTATAGCAATTTAGCTCGACCAGTGAAGGCCCCCCGCTGCATGGGGGGCCAACTGTAGTGTACGAGTTTCTACTACTACTACTAAGCCGTGTTACTACGATCAACCTGTAGCTGCGTGCCATCTCTCCGCTTTACCGAGCGCACATCTCACAAAAGACGTCAGAAAACAACTGTAAACCCCTAAAATAAACACGAATTCTCTTTTATAGACCCTACAAAACACGAAAATATATTCTCGTTTCGGCAGCGGGCGGCTGTTGCACACTCTCTACCGTAGTGACCCAGACCTCTATACACCTCCTGCAGCTCTCGCCTCTCCTCTGAGCTCTTGGGTCTGCCGAGAGACAACCCAGGGCCGCATGCGCTTTGCCCTGACACCGGCGAGATACAACTCCTAAACCCTAAACCCTAAACCCTAAAACCCTAAACCCTTGTGGCACTGGCGCAGGTGTACACTTCGGTGCTGTTCTTGCCATACTAAGTTGAAACAGCAGTTTCCGCCTGCGAAATTTCTCTTCTGCGGGGGCTATAGGGGCTAGATCATCGGCTGCAGCCCTCCAACTTGTTTTTTTTTTTCGTACTTTGTTCTGTTACTGCCCATCTGTGTTTAGCTGAAACATTCTTTAAGAAGTAACCAACGAAGTCTTCTGCTAAAATCTGGGGTCCCCGTGCCGCGACCCGACTGGAGTCAGCCGCGTAGGCGTTTCAGCCGCCATTCCCCTTGTTAGCTGCAATTTGGTGGTGAATGAGGGCTGCTCGGTTTACCGTGCAGCAGCACTTTGTTCAAGGGTTCCTAGTTCCGTCGAGTAGCACAATCATTTCAATGGCTTTCATAAAGGGAGCCCGAGAGAGAAAGCAATGTAGTTGGGATGCAACGACACCTTGATCGATGAATGTTGGTTCATGACGCATGCGGAAATTTGTTGGCTAGCAGGATTTGTTTCTATTCGCTTGTAGCTGAAGCTGCAGCAGCAAAAGCAGCTGCAGCTGCTGCATCGCATACCCGCAATGAAATTGCATTGCAGCTGCAGTGACTACGCGAGATGCATGCATCCTGATGCTGCAGCACTGACCTTCCGCCAAGAACAAAGAGGGTTTTAGTTGAAGCTGCTTCGCCGCATCATTTTCCTAGCCTGATTTGTATTCGTAGCTGAATTAGTCGAAACAGTGCTCATGCGTGAATACTCCACAGAGTTCAGAATCTTAGCTTTCTTTCGATCTTTGTGCAAACATATAGACATATGTTTATATATATATATATATATATATATATATATATATATATATATATATGTATATATATGCCTCTTAGATCTGTAGCTGTTAGTAGACAAGCTTGTTGTGTGCGTATTGCTCCGTTGGTCGTTTTTAGGGCCATTTGTAGATGGATGCAAACGGATCGCGAGCGCATATCCAGTTTATGCAATATATCTATCGCTATAATATGCAAAAACAATTAGTTACATGACCCTCATGCAGCAACTCGGGCGTAGGCGCAGGTGTATCCACCGCATGGCCCCGTGCGGCCGGGCTCAGACTCCACACAAACACCCTGCATGGGCAAAACCCAAAGGATAAGAAACAGCGTTAGTGCAATGAACAGAGAAAACAACTACAGAAAGGTGGGGCCATCGGAATCAATGAAAGGAAACTCGGAACGATGGCAGCACTGCTCCGTGTAGACCACCGAGACAACGTCAGTGGTCAGAGGACCATTGCCCCTCCACTACTTAATAGCTTTAAACTATACAAAGTAGACAGTAAACATTACTTATA